CCCCAAAACCCCAAAACCCCAAAACCCCTTCTTTCCAAAATATTTTTGAACTCTAATAACTAATAATTAGAAAATGGAAACTGGCTTCATAGTACCAGAAAATATTGATCCACAGAGGTAAGACACAAGCTCATGTACGTTTAGACCCCCTAAAGAACTCACTGGTGGTGAACTTGAGGATTATGCGTGTCCTGAGGGAGATACCCTCCTCACTCCTAAATACTCTATAATTAAATCACAATGTATGCGGATGGTAAAGAACAAAATAATAGGCTCTACAAAAGCGAAAATGGAATACTTCAACGAAGGCCTGCTGGATGAAATTTTAAATCTGTTAAACAAGCATGATGTGCCCTCAGAGATCATTTTCAATATGCTATCTATCCTATTTTGTTATACTAACAAGAAGAAGTCCAACCCTAAAATCGGATATGATTTCAATAAAATATGAGAAGCCTTTGCCCCTCATAAAGACTTTTGAGCCAAACTAGTAGCAACTCTAAACACAACAATGATAAATAAGGGTGATGATCGCATAATCGACCTCTGACTGCAGATCATAAGGAACTGACTCACTAACAACATCATGAGGGCCAGAGATGCTTTCATGCGGGATAAGGACCAAGAAATCGTAACTCTTGTGCCCCAGAATGCCAGTGACAAGGTTGATGTTTGCAAGATGTTTGCAGCGCTTACTACTAACAACAAAAGAGTTTCCCTAGTGGCACAAATTATCTCTGAATTATGAAAAGACTTCCCAGAAGTGAAGGATTTATTGATTTTAGACAAGACAATCATTGACTCGATAGCCGCTAAGATCCAAACGTTAGAGTCCTCTCTGCTAACATGCCTGATAAATCTGTGCTCTGGCCATAATGAAATCACGAACTACGTTCGAGAACAGATCGATATTGCCAAATTGATCAGTTTTCTTAGGTACCAGTACCCAGATATCAACTGTAAAGTTGCATATCTGGCAACTCTCCTCAGCAGTGATGAAGAGATGACTGATGATCATAAGAGTTTGATCAAACAGATTGTTTTCCAGATCTTGAGGATGCTCTTTACCTCACCAGATTGCCAGATCGATACCAAAATCGTTCTCGAAGGCATCACAATGTTACATAACTTGGTTGGAAATGAACACAGAGAGCAGGAAACCCAGAGCAATATTGCTAGCTTCGGGCTCAACCAGGACCACCGTCTTCGAAAATATGCTCTTGGGCAGATCTGTGATACTGGAATTATTGATCACTTAGCACAGATCCTGAAGAAGAGTTCCACAAAGGAGCTCTTCAGACAAAATTTTGTGAATAATAATGACAAAGACCAACTAGGATTAAATTGAACTACTGTAGAAAAGAACTCAAATGGTGATGTTCCAATGGAGGAATCCAAGACAACCCCAGATTGTTCTTCCAAAGACGAATCTCCCACTGATCATTTCAAAATTCTCAAAAGCTCTTTAGAAATCCTGCAATACATAATGACTTCAAAGGAGTCTAAAAATATTAACGAGAAAGGTGACTCTTCCCAATTTGCCACAAAGCTGATAGAGTTAGGAATTCCTCAAGAAATATTCAACATTCTCGAAGATACCAAAAACTCAGAGATAAAGCTCTTGTGATGTGAGTGCATCAGAATCCTTTCCAGGGCCAAGAGGCCTATCAAGGTCCAGATGCTGGAAGAAGGCAAAAGCTTGAGCAGCATCTTCGAAATGCTCCTCAATGATTTGGATGGTAATATCAAAAACAATAGGCTTGAAGAGTCAAAAATCCAGATAACTCATTCCATCCTAGCCATAGTCTGAAATTTCTCAATAGACTTCCCAGCTTTGGTACTGGGCTTCGAGAGGATCATCCCAATACTGAAGGATTGCTTAGAATTAGAGAATTCCCTCGAGATTAGGCTCACAGCTATCAAGACAATCAAAAACCTCCTGTACCCTGGCCATCATTCCGACATCTACAGAAAGGCAGAGAAATTAATTTTTGAATGAATACCAATCAAATACTTTCTAGAAATTTTGTACTCCAAAGAAAATGCCATTGAAGATAGATCAGAGCTGATCCCACTTATCCAAGAGCAAGCAGAGTTTATCTTCAAGTACATCACCTTGGCTAGTAAGAAAGGCGAAGGCCAGAATGACCAGAGTGACTTGAACTACCAGCAGACTTTTGTATTTGACACCCTTTCTGAGGAAGATAAAGAGAGGATCGCAAATATTCTAGATAAAGAATAAACACTTATGAGTTTCAACAAATAGCTTTAAAAAGGGGTTTTGGGGTTTTGGGGTTTTGGGGTTTTGGGG